TATTACTCTTATTACATATTAACATATGAATTAATAATAATATTAATCATTACATATACACTTAGTAACTAACGGATATGAATGCGCATGTCTAAATAGACACACACAGACACACACACACACACACACACACACACACCACACACACACACACACACACACACACACACACACACACACACACACATATATATATATATATATATATATATATATATATATATATATATATATATGTATATATTTATATATACTTACGTACGTGTATATATGCAGGCGATACCCTCCAGATAATCAGTAGGACATATTATGACGTGTTCTCGATATTACTGTTTTTTTTTTTTTTTTTTTTTTTTACCCTATCATGACGAGGCCTTATTTTTTCTGAAATAATATTACGCAACAGTCTAGACTAGCTTGGGAGGTACTTAATAGCTCTGTGAAAATGCAGGCTCACGCTGAATACAGTAGTGCTTAGGGAATTAGCATCAGTTTCTGAATATGTTTCACCTTTTTCCTTCTTTTAGCGAAGGAAACTCAGAAGAAACGTTTTTTTCCCTCATTAATTTATCTGCAGGTAGATTTCTGTTACGAATAAAATGGGAAAATACAATTCACACATTAGGAGGATAACTTTACCAACACTATGAATACATTTTGAAAACAAAAGGAAGGATAGAAACTACGGTACGATGGTTTTAGAACATTTATGACAATTTTAATTTTGAAGTAATTTATCATCACGTGTTATTATATTATTATTTTTAATTATTACTATTATTTCGGTTATTACTATTATTACCAACATCATTATTGTATCTATTGTGGTTGTTGTGATTCTTATTAATATCATCACTAGCATTATCCTTACCGTTATCATTACCATTCCTACCAACATTATATATGCTATAGACATTATCAATTCCTAACTGGTCAGACAACGCTGAATGAAGCACGAAATGTATGGGCTTAAGCGTGCGTAATTAAATGCATGATGTCTCAGCATATTTCATCCGGATAATCACACGTCCTAAACATAAGTCACTGTTTATGATCACGTTTCTTTCATGCTAATAAGGCCACAATAGTGCTCTCAGGCCTTGTCTGGGGTTACCGCTCCTAACTTTTTTTTTTCTCTCTCTCTCTTCTCATCGCGTAATTCTCTTGTGAATTACGTTTCCTTGATACGAATGTCTTGAAGTATTTTCCGAAGTTGCTTAGAGGGAGTGTCGTTTAACCATTATCAACTGGCTTAGGATATGGTGCTCGCCCATATACTAGTGGGTTTATTCACGGAGGAGAGCGTCTATATCTTCAAATGTAGGTGTAAAGATATTGGGCTTGTGAGATTTCAGATATACATATCCGGTATTTTAAAACTAATAACAATTAATAGGAAGCTGAATAACAGTATATGTTTGTTGATCCTCTTTGCATTTAAATCGTGGTCTGAAAGAAGCGTCATCACAAGCGTTGCGAAGTAAAAGTCATAATATTTGAGGCGTGTAGGCGCAACTTTGCTAAAGATTATCAGGTTAATCATATAGGTACAGATGTACCAAATCACACGCACTTAAACACACACTAGCATGCATAACTATAAGACCACATGCAATCACGCACACAAAATATATATATATATATATATATATATATATATATATTATATATATATATATATAGAATAGAGAGAGAGAGAGAGAGAGAGAGAGAGAGAGAGAGAGAAATAGATAGATATGTATACACATACATAAATGTATGTGTGTGTGCATATATATTTCTGACGTTCTCCCTCTTTAACATGAACTGGGAAAGACATGTGTCCTCCAGTGCAGTGATGCAGGGGCGTTTTATAATGTATAATGCTATGTATATATATGTATCTTTGTGCTCACAAATAGACACACGCACAGATATACAAACACACACGTTATACACACACACATGTTATACAACACACACACATGCACACGACACACACACACATATATATATATGTATGCATATGGTGTAATGTGTATATATACACATATACATATATATATATATATATATATATATAATATATGTGTGTGTGTGTGTGTGTGTGTGTGTGTGTGTGTGTGTATGTGTGTGTTTGCCTAACGTATTTGTATGAAAGATCTGTAGTTCTCGACCTTTTTACATTCGCGGCCCAACGTAATGCGATTTTTTCTACATGATTCAGACAGAGGGAGAAAAAAGAGAATATTCAGCTATCTATAAGAGCTTAATTTACAAACTTGTAATACGTTATTCCTTAAAGACATGGTTTCATTGTATATCCTTAATCTAAATACTGTCGAACTCCTAGTAAAGTGGACTATCATATTTTTCCTCAAGGCTTCAGGACTCACATAATGCGAACCGATCTATGCCTGGCGCTTACTTACTTACAGGGCATTCACTTACTTGGCATTCGGTTGACGTATCCGGTGCTTACTTTACTTATTTGGTACTCACTTGTCCTACCCGACACTCACCTTACTTACGATGCATTCACTTACCTGGCACTCACTTGATTTACCTGAACTAACCTTACTCGCTTGACTTATGTGGTACTCACCTTATGTGACACTCACTATACTTATCTGGCACTTAATTTCCTTGAAATCACCTTTCCAGATAATCGGCTGATTTATCTGGTGCTTATCTTACTTACCTGTTACTCACCTTATTTACCTGATGCTCATCTTACTTACGTGGTAATCGCCTTACTTACGTGGCACTCACTTTACTTATCTGGCATCTCACTTAACTCACGTGGTCCTCACCATACTTACATTACCTGGCACACACATTATCTAATTTACCTAGCACTTCACTTACCCGGCATTAACTTGCTCTACTTACCCGGTACTCATTTGTCTTACTTACCCGACACTAACTTGCTCTACTTACCCGACACTAACTTGTTCTACTTACCCGACACTAACTTGTTCTACTTACCCGACGCTAACTTGCTCTACTTACCCGACACTAACTTGCTCTACTTACCCGACACTAACTTGCTCTACTTACCCGACACTAACTTGCTCTACTTACCCGGCACTTATTTGCTTTACTTACCTGGCACTCACTTGCTTCACTTGCCTTACTTTGCATTAGCTTGCATAGTACTCAGTTTACTTACTGAGCGTTCACTTGCTTTACTAACCTGATCATTTCCCTTACCTGATGCTCAGGCACCTAACATGGGGCATACTTCCCGTACTTACCTGGTGCTCACTTATTTACCGAACACCCACGTTACTAACTTTACTTGCCTGATGTTCAGATACAGTCACGAGGCATAACATCGACCGCACAGGGAAAAAGTAAGGGGCAGCGGACATGTACCCTTCTAGACGGAAGCTGTTAAAAAAAAAAAAAAAAAAAAAAAAAAAAAAAAAAAAAAAAGCGTGAAGAAATGGTGGAGAAGGGTTGGGGATAGTGAAGAGGTTTAGATTTAATGCACAGCCTCTCCTACACATTACACACAGGCTTGCACGGACATGCACTACTATGTGTCTGTATCTCTACCTCGACTGTGTAAGGACGCTATAGAAATCTTACAGCGTCTTAGGAAGAAATAAAACCGTCACGAATACTCGCATGCAACTTAATCATTACACGGTGTATATTTTTCACATTTATTAAATAATTCTTAATCAATAGAAAATAAAGAAACTTAACACACGCTCACGACAGGAAAATGAAGGCTAAAGACACAGCAAACATCTATTACCCGTTCTGTCAAATGTTGAAATTTAGACTATTCACACGCACACACACACACACATGTATATATATGTGTGTATGTATGTATATATAAATATAGACATACGTGTGTGTATATAAACATATATTTTGTATGTATACACATACACACACATATATACATACAACACACATACACACACACACACACTGGAGAGGAATGTTGGGACGATTTGGAGGAGTTAGCGCAAGAGGCCCTATGCATCTCCCTGGGTGCCGCAGGAACTGATTGACTGATATACATGTTAGTGTGTGTGTGTGCGTGTGTGTGTGTGTGTGCATATACATATATGTGTATGAGTGAGTGAGTGGGTGTGTGCGTTTGTGGTGTGTGTCAGTGTGTCAACGATATCAACGTATATATATACATATATGTGTGTGTGTGTGTGTGTGCGTGCGTGTATAAAAATGGATAGATATATATGTGTGAGCACATTTATAAATATGTGTATATGTAATTACACCTAAAATGTCATGATATTTTTCTTCAACACTACACCGCAATACTATGCCTGCAATAAGTAAACAACAAACTGCGGGCTTAGAGAAAAACTGCTTGATACTTCTTACCCTTATACCTTGGGAATCTCTCTTTTTTTTTCTTCTTCTTCTTTCTTCTTTTAATGAACAGCCACAGTCGTGGATATGTTTTTGTTAAACATGTGTTTTAAGAGAAGCGTGTTCACAAAGCTGACGATGGTTGACTGGCGTGGTATCAGCTTTCTTATAAGCATTTATATTGCATGATGTATTTAAGCTTCATTTTATCTTATTTACTTTTTTATTGTCCTTTGCATGTAAATGTTGCTGTATTCATTTTTACTTTTAATTTGGTCGTACATACACATACACTGATAAATCAATAGGTATGTGTGTAGACAGATAGGCAGATGTTTAAGACCGTAACCAAAAATGGGGGATTTATTCTTCTGAAATTGTGGTATCCTGGATGTCGAAGGGCCCGCTATATTTGTGTATGAACAGTGCAGTACATGCATACAGCCACATAGGGATATATATATATATATATATATATATATATATATATATATATATATATATATATATATATATATATATATATATATATAATGCATGCATCTGCGGATCTAGGTTTAACGAAAAAAAGCTCCTGTCAGATGTTATTAGTGAGGATGACATTGATTTGTTTGGTGATGTTCTTAACCGGACATTCCAGTCCCAAATACATGCGTGTCTTTTTTTTCTTCTTTTTTTCATCAGCTTTACATAATTTGACTATCTAGTACAGAGGGAATACGGGTAGCGGAGCCTTTTTTCCATGACAGCTATCCATATATAGAATATGAATGTTACTGATTTTCTACCAAGACCTGTAGTTGGTGTTGTAGGAGCAGGAAGCACCCTGAGCTGTCTTGCTGAAGCGAGAGGGATCAACGCCGATGTTCATGAAGGCGGATTCACAACGCCTGTAATATCTGTCAGCGAGAGTTGGCGAGCGGGAGAAAATGAAGGCGAAGTCGGCGTAGTAGCCGAAGTTGTGGCCGGCGCAGCTATAGATGCACGAGAAGTTCTCGTAGTCAGTGTCCAGAATCACGTAGGGAGCCATCCAGGCTGTAAACAGGGAAATTGTACTGTTAATCAAATATATTTCCTTGTATGATTTACCTATTCATATCCAATCCATGTCTAATTAAGTAAAACATTTTCTTGTGAATACTTACATTCTTCGTAGTCCACGGAAAGGTGAGGTTCTCCGAAAGGATTTGGCAGAACCTGACCATTACGTGTGATTGTGTTTCCAGTAGCATCAGTACCAGTGGTCCTGACGTTGAACTTGATTCCATCTGTATATAAATATATATATGTTTATGTATGTATGTGGATTTAGATACTCGTTTTTCTGCTAGGTGAAAATAGTATATACACAGGTTATGTACCACTTCGTAAAAGGTCTATAACCAAAAACTTACCAAAGGTATATTCGTTGCGGACACACTGCTTAATCAGTTGGTAGGGGTTGTTTGTAAGGGCAATTTCGTACCATGTGCCTGCATACTGTAATTTCAGAAATAGCGACTGTAGAAACTTGCAATGTGAACATGCAGTCACATTATGGATGTATGTATGCATTATAATGAATAAATACCCATGCGTGTATATATCTGTATATGAAATATCTACATATACACAGATGCACATATATGTGTGTATGTGTGTGCACTGCGCACATGCACGTGCATTTATGTATTCAAATTTAGATTGTTATCATATGCAAATTAACTTGCCCTTTGATAGTTCGGCTTCTGTTGAGAGTAGAGCATTCTCTCGTCGACCGCAGGACATTTTCCCGGCACGACAAAGCCAGGGATCCTGTCGGCAGCGACCACTGCAACGAGAGCGAGGCACAGCAACGAAGTCTTCATGATGATCCTGCAGTCTGAGTGGCGTGAGAGCTTTTCAGGTGTCTTTATATACTGGGTGCATCCCGTTGAGGAAAGTCACGATGATAGAGGAATTAAGATTAGTTGTAAGCTTGAATATTTTAATAAATATAGCTATTTATAAAAGAAAAATCCAAACGATGATTTTCGTAAGTCGATGCTCCGCCTTTTTCACTGTTTTACCTGTGACATGGGATATAAAGAGCAGGACGCAACCACCAGGAGTCACACATAACAAGCCACCATGTTGAAGGCACTCTTAACTGCTGCCCTCGTGGCTCTTGTCGCAGCCGACAGCATTCCAGACTTCGTAGCTCCTGGAAGTTGTGCCAGAGTGGCAAATCAAGATAACTTCGACCTTCACAGAGTAAGTTGCCTTATTATGTATTGCTTATTAATGGTATGTTCACTTGCAAATTGATCACAACACGACTGTGTCAAGTGTCTTAGTAAAATCTGCTCCCCAACAGTATGCTGGTCGCTGGTATCAGGTCCAGATCATCGACATCCCCTACCAGCCATACACTCGCTGCATCCACTCCGACTACGACTACTCTGACTCTGTCAATGGCTTTAGGGTAACCACAGCTGGATTCAGCCCCAACAACGAGTACATCAGACTGCAGGGCAAGATCTACCCCACAAAGGACTTCCCACCTGCTCACATGCTTGTTGATTTCCCTTCTGGTACGTGTAAAACACTCTTTCCTGTGTATATCAAAACTGTACTTTAGAAAATAATCATACTGACCAATTACACATTTCCCCCTTCTCTCCAACAGCTTTCGCCGCTCCCTATGAAGTGATCGAGACTGACTACGACAGCTACTCCTGCGTGTATTCCTGCATTGGCACAGACAACTACAAGTCCGAGTTCGGCTTCGTCTTCTCCCGAACTCCTCAGAATTCCGCTTCGGCGATTAGCAGGTGCGCCTCCGTCTTCCGCAGGAACGGCGTCGACTTCTCGTCTTTCAGTGCAGTTCCTCATACATCCGAATGTGTTTACAGGGCATAGACCTGTACTTAAGATCTCCACAATAATAAAGTAAAGCCCTGACTTAGAGTATCATTTCCTTCAAAAGGAAATAAACCTTTCCATACGACGTATGACAATTGAAAAGCTCCTACTCTCTGGTTACACCAGGCAATGAACTATCAGGATCTTAGATTATTCTCTTTCA